GAGAGAGAGAACAATTGTTTCATGTGGGCTGGACCGCATTTCTACAATATGCGGTCTAGAGGTATAAGGCATCCATCTTAAAGATGGACGCAAATAGGTGGTCCATCTAAAAACAATTGTAATTATCAGTCCAAATGTGTTCTTAATATAATTATTATTTCTAGTTTTCAAATTTATTTTTTTTATATTCCTGATCTCCATGTTAAAGATTATATATTCTCTAAAAAATACAATCAAATTATATTTAAAAAATATATTTATTGCCAAGCCTGCATTTCTACATCATGTGCGGGCTTGGCGGCATGCTAACCGCGTGTATATATATATATATATATACCCTACTCGGGCATGGCCGCCTCGACAGCCGCATCTGCATTTCTGAACATTGATATGAATGAGTCTTAAAACTTACTTTGCACACATATTTCTGTAAGTATGATAAATATATTAGATATGCGTCTCTAGTATATAAACCAAACAGAAGAAATATAACTTATATAATAACTGTGCATCTAAAACTAGTCCAATACATTTATAAGTAATGTTTTAGTTTCTTCCCAATTTTACACTATTTTTCATCTTTATAGAATAGGTGCCCCCAAACTAGGGAGCTTCAAGCAAGCAATTATCCCCGCTCCTACTCCAGCTTTCAACAACTATGTCCTTACCCAGCTAAAACAATGAAATCTTGAGACCAAAATTTATTCCACTAAAATCTAGAAGGCTAATCGGAACAAATAGTTGAAATTTCAGTTCTTAACTACACAATTCAATTCGCTTACAGAAGGTAGAGTCCAACCCAACTGTAACATCAAGAAAAAGAGAAAAGCCAAAAACAGACATAAAGTATGGAAGGCATACCGCTTGCGAGAGCACAAGTTTTGATTGCAGCTTGGGCCATCAAATCCGACATTGACGTCCACACTAATACACCAGCAGCAACATATTCATGAAATTTTAACAATCATTAGTGATTTTCAAATAAGATAAAAAATTTGGAATACATCAAATGCAAGCAGTTTTCATGATTGTACATTGGTAAGAGCTAATCTCAATACAGGAAGGAAAAATGAAGCCATTGCCAGCTACTAATAGGATTCGATAAAGATAAACGCAACTATAAAAAAGAAATACAAAATAAAATAAGAACAATTGTTTCATGTGGGCTGGACCACATTTGTACAATATGTGATCCAGAGGTGGTCCATCTAAAAACAATTGTAACTAACAGACCAAATGTTTTCTTAATATAATTATTATTTCTAGTTTTCCAAATTTATTTATTTTTCCATATTCATGATCTCCATGTTAAAGAATATATATTCTCCAAAAATTAGGATCAAATTATATCTAAAAATATATATTTATTGTCAAACCCGCATTTGTACATGTACGGGCTTGGCCGCATGCTAACCACGTCCATAAAATAATTGCTCTAATCATGAAGGATGTGTGAAGGAGCAAGGTAAGTGCACCATATGGTCACTCTGCCAGTTAAGCATGAAATCTGTAGCACATTAAACAGATTGCCTGGTTCTGCTTGTATAGTTAATGTGATTAGCTCCCTGAGTCCACACCTGAATTGAAATGGTTCCCCATTGGCGTTGACACAACATGAAAATACAAAAGGCAAGTGACAAGCCCATTGCCATGATCCACAGCATACTTACTGATATTCCCTTACATCAATTTTCTGGCCTCAAAAATACCGAAAGAGAAATACAAAAGCTTATGCTAAAACTCATACCAAGAAAATGCATCTTTTCATTATTTAACAACCAATATTGTGAATGGCCATGACACAAGTGGGACCCCATTTACTACAGAATCCCATAGTCCACTAGATTATAGTCTATTTATCCTGAGGAAAACTGTTTCATGCGGGCTGGACTGCATTTCTACAATATCCGGTCCAGAAGTATAAAGCATCAATCTTAAAGATGGATGCAAATAGGTGGTCCATCTAAAAACAATCGTAACTAACAGTCCAAATGTTTTCTTAATATAATCATTATTTCTGGTTTTCTATTTTTTTACTTTATTATACTCATGATCTCCATGTTAAAGATTATATATTCTCTAAAAATTAGGATCAAATTATATTTCAAAAATATATTTATTGTCAAGCCCAAATTTCTACAATCTGCGGGCTGGCCGCATAGAAACCATGTCCTTATCCTAATCATTATTGGTAAATTTGCTATTGGCTTATATTTTGAATTTATGCCTTGAAATTTATAGATATGGTTGATATTCATGACTTAAAACTTCTAGATATGCATTTTCCAATTATTTAACAAATCAACATGGTGAAAATACGCTATGCCTCAAGTGGGAATCTTCATGATGCTGGAGTATTAAGTTGGGGATTCCAAGGAAAACTTCTTCTTAGCAGAGATTGATAAAGCGAGGTTTTGTGAAATGCTTTGGAATTACAAAAGAATGGAGAGGAAGGTTTATCTTGGAGGTGAGAGGGTATGTGATGGCGAGTTCTTGATGGCCACTGGAAGAGAGTAAATAGGAACTTGTTTAGGCTTGAATTTAGTCTCTCTCACATTTTGCAAGGCCTGGTTGCCAGTTTTTAGAACACAGATTGTGTTTTTCAATTCCTTGGTGGCATCTTTTTTAAGTTTACAGCCTAGTGGAACTAAAATTCAAGTTTCAGGAAAAGTTTCATGTTTGGGGAAATAAGATATGGTTTTCATGTGCTCTCTCCCTTCTTCCCTCCCTACACACACACACAGACAAACAGTGACATGAGTAGTTGGCCACACCATTGTAGGACCTTCCCATTATTGTGTCATTTCAATGCAGGATCAAGGAAATAGCCAAATGATAGAACTTTCCATAAGGTCAACATCTGTATCTAAAAAGTATTCAGTGGCACCATTACTGATTATAGGCCTTCAAGAAAAACATACAGCTAGACTCCAACAATGTACACCCAACCGGCTTTTTTATATTGTTACTGCTTAATTGACTCATAATTCTCCTATTTTAGTGGAAAAGATATTCATGTTGTTTCTTTTGATCATTTTCTTGCCCCAACAGGAAAACACTAATAGCAGGCTTGATTAGAATCAGTGTTTAAAAACTTGAACTCGTCCTGAGTTTAACCACCAAACCAACCAAGTTGGCTCAACCGACTTGCCCAATATTAGAGAGAGAGAGAGAGAGAGAGAGATAAAGAAAAATAGATAAAATGAAAAAATCATTACCAAAAGGTTTACTCATCTAATAGGCCTGCATATAAAAAAATTCAAAATTTAAAATAAACATTTTGGAAAGAAAATGGCAAAAAAACAAAAACAGAAATAAAAATCAATTTTAGAGGTTTTCGTTTTAAAAAACAAATCCAAAAATGTTGACAGGGCTTTTGTAGATCAATATTATAGGAACGTTTTGGGACAAATTTCAACTAATTTGGTGAAACAATGAGGGAGAAAATAAAAGTTTTTTATTTTGGTTTAAAAAGAAACTCCTGAAATTTCAAATCTAGATCTATTTGAACAAGGACTTCAATCCAACAAATCATGATATAGATTTGTTCGAGGATCCAAAAAGATCATTTCGAAAAATATTTCAAAATATTTGATGCAGAATTGAAGGAAATGCCTCAATTGTCGAAATGCCTATACAATGGCATAAATTCCACATCATTTATAGAAATAGAATGCCTAGCCTTAGTCTCGGTCAATTTTCACTAAAGAAGGCTACAAGCTTGCCTTCTTGATGACTAAGAACAATTCCAATACCCAAATGCAAAGAATTACACTCTACTTGAAAAGGACTTCTCAAATTCAGAAAGTGCCAAAACAAGCACACTAGTCATCTACCATTCAACAAGTTTGAAGCTATCTTCAGCGGCCTTTGTCCACTCAAATGTACCCTTCATCTGCAATTAGTAAACGGTGCAATGATAGTGCTGAAAGTTACAATAAACTTCCTACAAAAAAGTAGTCAAACATAGAAACTCCTTACGTCTCCCACAGTTTTTGGTGTAGACCAATCCGCAATTTCTTGCACCCTGGCTTGATCAACTTTAACCCCTCGCTGAGACCATGAACCCAAGCATACCAAGCTATCTATCATAGAGGAACACTACCTGGGATCTACGAACAATTTCTCCCAACAAACTACTTCCCATACCTGTCTCAGATGGTTTAGGTGGTGCTCATTATTACTCGTTCAGTAAATAAGAACATTATCAAAATACACAATCATGATTTTGCCAATAAAAGGACAAAGCCCGTGGTTCATAGCCCTCACAAAGGTATTAGGGGCAATAGACAATCCGAACAGCATCAGCATGTGCACAAAACTTCCCAAGTCTTAAAAGTTGTTTTCCACTCGTCCCCTAGACGTATACAAATTTAATGATATCCATTTTTCAAATGAAGCCTAGGTAAGACCTTAGAACCCAACAGCATATCAAGCATATCATCCAAATAGGGAATAGGAAAGCAGCGCCTCAATATAATCTTATTAATGGCCCCACTATCCACATATATTCGCCAAGAATCATCTTTCTTTGGTGTTTACAGGGTCAATTTAAAACCTTATTCAACAAATCAGCTCAACTATCTAATTGACCATGCTCTGTCAAACTCACAGAATAATGTGGCAACTTAGGAAGAGTAACACTGGGGATCAAATCAGTGCAATGCTGAATATCTTTCATAGGAGGTAACCCATCAAGAAAATCCTTAAGTATAACCTCCTTGAACTCCTCAATCAATGGCGTAATAGAGGTAGGAATAGAATAACGACATGAATCATCCTTAGCTAACACTGCATACATGACTCCTGGCTCTTTGCTCTCCTCAAGAAACCAATTTCAAGAGATTATAACCGCTCATCCCCCCTTAAGATCAATCTGGCTATCCCGCTTTATCAGTTGCAATGTATGTTAACATCATCTTTCCAAAAAGTATACACATAATGATTTCCATGATATATAGGAAAACACCATATTGCTGTAGGCGACCCAATAGTGTATGACATGCATCGATAGGGAACATATCACACCAAACAGAACCTTCATATTTTTTTTCCAAGACTAAAATTCACCAAACAGTGAGAATTAACAAGGGTTATGGTACCTCTTTTGAGCTGAAATCTTGTATGGCTGAGGATACTTTTTGCACTTCAAATTCACCTTGTTGACCATCTCCTACAACACCATGATGCCGCAACTCCCATTGTCAATAATAATCATGCACACCTTGCCCTATGTTGTGCAACTACTGCAAAACATCCGAAACCAAGGCTCTTCCACCACCCTTGGGGCTGATAATAGCTGCCTGATTACTAGAAATCACGGTATAAATCAGTTGCACCTCCTTCGAGCTTATCATCAGGCTCCTCGTCATAGATAGGCCCCTCATTGGCATCTCTTTCCTAATTCTCATCCCCCTATAAAGATATCTTTCGACCTACAGTATATGGCACTCAAATATTGATGCCAAGGCCAGCCCCAGTCTTGGATTTGAAGAGGCTCTTTTACAGCTAGGCCTTTCTATGCTTGAGATCCATCACCGGGGGCGAGTGCGAGCCAATCGCCTCTCTTAATTTTCTATTTATAGCACCCCTTTTGAATCGAAGATGATTACAGACCAAATGAGCGATTTACATAGACCCTCTTCAACTTTGTTTCAGATTTTAGGGCTATCAGATATGCTATCTCAAGACTGAAAATTCAATGCAAAATTAACACAACGTGAAATTGAATTTTCAAGCCACTTACATGCCTTGCAATGAGCAGATCATATCTTTCGTGAATCTTGCTAGCCTTATCAATAGATAGAATCCGTCTGTGTACTCTTGCATACAACTCGTTTTGTCAAAGATGACAAAATCTCTGATATGAAGGTCTCACTATTAGCAATCCAATCCAAGAAGTCATCAGGTTGCAGTCTACTTGG